CCTGTGTCTGAAATGTCGTCGCCTCCGCTGTCCACTCAAATGCTACGTCCGCTGGGAGGGTCCCCGGGAAAACCACCTAGCACGTTCAACAAACGCGCCCTTCCGCCCCTTCTAACACAGTCCTGTTCTCACCGGCTGGGACCCACTGAGCAACGTCTTGCCGAGCGAGGTCCCTGGGTTCCGCCTCTCCGTTCGCAGCACCTACAAGAGCCCACCCAGTACGAGGGGCACCTTCTTTCCTCTCTGCCTCTCAATGATCCCTCCTCGGGACCGCGGGGACGCGACCCGGCAGCAGTGCGGCCTGAGTGGACACGCACCAGCAGGAAAAAGGGGCGTTTTGTTCTGAAAGGCGGCGGCAGCAGACAGAGACCCTTCCCAGCTCCCACGGGCGCAGGAGGCCGCGCGTCTTGCACCGCCCACCGGGTCGGCCTGCGTCTGAGGGTCCTCATCGCCAAAACGGGGGGAACAATGGGAGCCGCCTCTCGGGGCGTGAACGGGGGTTAACAATGGCTGCAAGCCTCAGCCCCGTGCCGGGCTCGACGCACGTTCGCCATTCCGTGAACGTTTCCGCACCGTGACCGGAGAGTGGGGTGAGCGGACTCGCGGGGCGACAAGCCCAGCCCCCTGCCCCGGCCCCGCCGGCCTCCGAAGAAAGGCGCAGGGAGGCGGGAAGCCAGGCCTCACGTGCGGCGCTGGCCCCGCGCCAAGGGGCGGTCCGGCTACTCACTGAGCCACAGCTCCAGCGCCGCCGCCGGCCCCGGGGGCCCCTCGGCCGACTCGGTCCCCGCCGCCACCGCTGTCGCCATGAGCCTGGCCCCGCCGCCGAGCCCGCGGGCGCCCCTGCCTTCAGCTGCCGCCGCCAACTGGCGCGCTCCGGGGCTGCCGACGCGGCAGGCGCGGGTCCGCACGTGACGGGGGCGGGGGCCTGCTCGGACACGCCCACCCGTCAGGCCCCGCCTCCGCGCAGGCGCCGGGCGGGGGTGCTGCCTCACAGAGGTGCCCCCCACCCCCGCCGCGGGGTCAGAGCGGATCAAGCCAGCCTCCCAAGGCCGGCGCCCTCGGGTCTTCCAAAGGCAGGCTTGCCAATCAAAACACAGGACGCAACCGGTTACATTGGAACTTCAGATAATGAATAATCTTTAGCACTTTCATTCCCTCCACCTTTTGCTTTATTTAACCCGTAACACATTACCCCATCAATATACTAGAATCTATATTGTACTAGTACCTAGATATTTACTTGCTTATTTTGTTAAAGAATCATTTCCCCCAAAAAAGAGTCATGGTTCTTGTACATTGTGAAATGGACACGTGTTAAATATTTTAATTAAATGAGGGACCAAGCAGATGCTATAATCCATTGAAAAGAAGTCAGAAAAAGGGCAAATTTATATAGAATAGAGGAACGAAACAGCTGTGCAAATGGACGCATAAAGAGCTGCAGACAGAATTTGCATGTCTTTAGGCGAGAATGATTCACCTTGCTATCAGGTACCTACAAATAACAGAGCTGAGACCAGGGAAGGCTGGGAAGTGGAAGGGCACGGTGTCTTGCCCAGGCATCATTTTCCTCTGAAGCACAAATTCACCTCTATATCCCATGACCTGCTTCACCTAAGCAGGGGTTTTGCTTTATACACTTCTAGATCCCCAGCAGCTAGTAATCGTTTCCGGCACACTAATGCCAACAAATATTTGTTGACTAGCCAAACATACAGTGGAAGCAGTAAGACGCAGCTGTGGGATATTAGGTCCCAACCCTACACAAAGTCGAAAAGTACATTTGCTGTGCTGTCTCAGCTCCAAAATAAATCTGGCCACACACGTCTCCACCCCACAGGCTGCTGCCCAAAGCACCCTTGTGTGTGGACATCATCATGAAACTGCTGCTGCATGACAAGCGACTAAACCACTGTGCTGGGTTCTAAATGCTGCACCTTTTAGTTATCTTAGCAAACTCGGGCTGCTATAACGAAACACCAAAGAGTGGGTGGCCCAAACCATTGACTTTTATTTCTCACAGGTCTGGAGCCTGGAAGTCCAAGGCCAAGGTGCTGCAGATGAGGTTCCAGGTGAGAACCCGCTTCCCGGTTTGCAGAGAGCAGACTGCTTTCTTGCTGTGCGTTCACCAGGTGGTCTGGTCTCTTCCTCCTATAAGGGCACCAATCCCATCATGAGGGCCCCACCCTCGTGACCTCAGCTAAACCTTATCACTTCTCAAAGCCCCCACCTCCAAATCCCATCACATGAGGGGTTAGAGTTTCAGCATATGTATTTGAAAGGAACACATTCAGTCTATACACTATCCATGCAGGGAAAATTTTGGATTTCAATGAAAACTATGCTTTGTCTATAGCACACCTTTCTGTGTTATCTGATTGTGGTTCATCCGGAATTGCTTTCCATCTCTCTGGAGATAATGGAAAGCAAAGGAAGTCACTCTTGTCTAGGGACATGCAGATGAAATCTGCCCCAGGAAAACACACCCCTCTCTCTAGAAAAACCAGATTTGCTCCCATTTGCACCTTCCTTTCAATAGTCCTGAGCTATAAATGTGCGTGTTCTTCCGATTGTTTGTTCTCAGGAGGGGTTGCGTCAGTCATTCATGATTTCTTCATTCATGATTTAAATAAATCTTAAACACACGTTTGCCTCTTCAAAATTCTAAAATCTGACAACACTGGAGCTGGGTTTCCTTATTGCAACCAATGCCCGCCGGTGACTAGAGACAGTGCCCTCTTCAGGGGCAGCAGCTGTCCATTCTGCCAAGGACCATCCGTCACTTCCCAAATATCTCATACCTGCCTTACGTTCTTTCTTTTAAGCACTTCCACTCATTTAACGTTTTGGCATGTGGGTCAGTGGTTTTCAAACTAACATTTGTCAGAATCACCTAGAGGGCTTCTTAAAGCACAATACTGTGAGGGCCTGACCCACACAGTTCCCGATTCAGCAGGTCTGGGGTAAGGCCGAGAAGCTGCCTTTCTAACCGGTCCCCAGACGGTGCTAATGCTGCTAGTCTGGAGATCACAACTGAAGGGTTCAAGGATAAGTGATGTGGACGGAAAAGCGGCCACATGTTAAACCTGACAAGCTCGGGAGACTGAAAATAACCACAGAGGATGGCCACAGGATGGGGTGAACATAAAAATTCCTAACTAAGGTGGGTCATGGCGGGAAGTCACATCTTTGGCCTGTGGCTTCATTGACAAAGGTCAATCGTTACCTTAAGTGAGCCTGTCTGTTGTCCTTTTGCATTTAAGATAACATTCCCTTGGAAAGTAAGAGGAATCCCTTTCGGGACCCCCCAAGGGGCACAACCCACCACACCATAGCTGAAAGCTACAAAATCCCTCATTGTTACCTTGTTCCCCAAATACAATCTCTATGTGCTGTAAATAGCTATTAACTGCCCTGTACCCACCAATATAAAAAAAGTCTCTCCATTTTACTTTTATCCAAACCCAGAGATTTCCCCGCTTTGCTTTTTCCCCACCCCTTTAATCCACAACCAATAGACTTCATGTAACTCCTGTCCTTTGATTCTGATGTATAAAATAAGTTGCACAAAGGCCATTTTCTGGGGCATTTTCGCAGTCCGTTGAGACTTGCCATCAGTTTGGCTCAAACAAACTCTTACAAGCTTTCTCTTTGGCTGGATGTTTTTTCGTCGACAGTGATAAGGAAGTGGTTGGGGGTTCAGGGCAGCCGCTGGGTGCACAGGTTTTGGCTTCAGACACTCCCCCGGGAAGGCATTGTCACCCCCCAGGAGGCTTTCCGAGGTCCCCTCTCTAGTTCTCACACAGCCCTTCATGCCCAAGCTCCCCTCTGCTTTCCATTTATGTCCTGTATATGGTCCGTGGTTTGTCCCCCTTTCTGTATGGTGAGCTTTCATAGGGCTCTCCCACTGCAGTCAGGATTGGGAAAGGGGGAGCAGAGGGCAGAGCTGAGGGGACTCGGGCCTGGGGGGAAAGACTGTGACCCCAACCTTTTGTCCAGATATGCAGGACAAGCTGGAGATCCCCAAGCCAAACTTGTATTACCTTCTAAACTAAAGAAAACATTCATATCCTGTGTTCCACTAAAGAAAACAGTAACCACAAACAATGTGAAGTTCCTGAACATGGCAAACCGGTAGCCTAACTGGACAGTGACTGTGGCGGGACCAGCACCTGTGCCCTTGACACCGTCCTGACCATCCCATCCAACAGATGTGTATCTGGTCTTTCACCTGGTGTTCATCAGGCACCTGCTATGAGCCGGCGCCATTCTCAGCACTGGGGACACAGGTGACCAAGCAGATGAGGTCCCTGTTTTCCTGGACTTTACAATCTGACATGAATGGGTAACTGTACAATTACTTACTTACAAAATTTTTAACACAACCAATCGTGTGCTAGAGAAAAACACGAGGCGGGGGGTGTGTGCTGGTGACGAATTACAGGAAGAACTGAGAGGAAGTCAGAGGCTCCCCTGACAGTGGAGGGGACAGTGGAGCTGAGATCTGGAGGCGAAGGAGGTGACGGGGCAAAGCGGAGAAAAGCGGGTGGACAAGAGCATCCCAGACAGCCATCTGCTCTGAGGGCAGGAAGAAGGCAGGCTCAGGTGGCCGGGGGACCAGAGCAGAGGCGCATGTGTGGCACAAATGGGTCAAGTGCAGCTGGAAAGACCGGCCTGGGTCAGCGTGAGAGGAATCAGCCCCCTGCACGCCTCATTTCCGATCACCTCCATCCAGGGACCCTGCATCTGGGTGGGTCCCACTCACATTTCCTGTCACATGACGGCCTGAATGATCCTTTAAAAAAAAACACCAATCTGATCACGTCACTTCCCAGCTTAAACCATGTCAGTGGCTTCTCACCTTCCAACTCGGGTCTTCGCTAACTGAACCCCCACTTTGTTCAGGTACCCATAGCTTCCCAGCCTGGCCCCGCCCCCAGCTCTGAGTCTGACTGATCTGTGGGGTCTCCCCTCCCACTTCCCGAGCAGAGATGGGTTCAAGAATGGGGAAGTCAAGTAAGGGAGGGTGCTCTGAGGGAGAAAGTCGCAGAAAGCCACTCTGCCTGCCACCAGACCCCACAGAGGACATGCAGAGAGGCCGCCGGGCGTTAGGCAGTGAGCAGAGGGAGCCAGTCCCAGGCTGTCGGTGACGCTGGGGCCAGCAGAGCAGAGAGATGGAAGGCCCTACAGTCCTCACTGAATGCTTAATTAACCAACCCTGGAGCCGGCCCTACCCCTGAACTTCCTGTTATGGGAGATACTAAATCTTGTTTAAGCTGGTTTGAAACCTGGCTTTGTTATTTGCATCAGAAGGCACCTTGAAACTTTTCACCTGTCTGGGTTTCTCCTCTGTCTGGTTTCTCAGCCACTGCTACCACTCCGTCACCTCCTACCCATGGCTCCAACCACATCCTACTCTGTGAAGTGGTCTTTTCCATCCCTCTGCTTGAAATACCCTTCTGACTCCCATAGACCTGGGAAACTCCTATGCATCCCTTGGAACCCTGTTCACCTGTAAAGCCCTCTTGACAGCCCTGAACAGATGAAAAGCTTCCCTCTCTGGACCATGGTATCACCCAGAGAGTCCTCATTTTCAGAGTATTTATTATCCTGGTCCCTGGGAAGATAGAAATTTTATCATAAGACAAAAAAATATGAACTAATGAATAGACTTCTAATTTTAGTCCCCACTAAACATCACTCTATATTGAACCATTCCGTCTGTATTCAGTGCCCACTACAGGCAATGGACCAGACTGCTGACCACAAGTGCAAATCTTGCAAAACAGACAAGACTTCATCCCAGGGTCGATGAAACTGAAACTGGGAAACTGCTGGAAGCCGGTGGTTAAGCCAGCTGATGACCACCACTTCTGCCGAAACTGATCTAACGGATGGGGCCCTCAGACATTCTGTTCATCACGAGATCATTCCTTGACTCTACTGTGTGTCAGGCCACGTGCCAGGTGCTACGGTAATAACCAAGAAAAAGAAACACTTCCTGCCCGTCTTAATCCTACATTCTCTAGACAGACAGTAAACATGTACAAATACACTACACAATTTCATGTAAGTATTGGGAAGAAAAACAATAAAGCAGGATAAAGACTATACGAATCAGTCATTTTCTGGAAAAGGTACTCTCTAAGCTCCTTGGAAGAGAATCAGGCTCAGGGGAAGTAAGCACTCTCCCCTGGACCATGATCTTATCACATGACTGTCCCCCTGGCCGGCTGATTGGTCGAGGGCCAGGCAGCTGACCAAGCTAGGTCAATCAGATTCTCACCTGGGAAGTTGGGCGTTGGATTAGTTATGTAACTGGTGGTGTAGAAGAGAGATGGTTCAGCTTTAGGGCTGAATGTTAGTTGTTCAGTTGGTCAACTGCAAAGAGGAAGAGAAAGCCAGTCTGCAGAAGGAAGATGTGGGAAGAGACGAATTTAGAGACTGCGGTCTCAGAGGGGCACAAGTGAGTGCCTTGGGTCCAAATGGATTTCCAGGGACAGACTCCCGTCTCTCATAAGGTCCACCTGGGAGTCTCACCCCTTGGAGCTGTGCAAGTCCTCATTCTTCCAATGACTTCCTTTGTTTGTCCGAGGGCATCTCTATGCCTGGCAACCATGATCACCATTTCTAAGAATGAAATACCAGAGATGATGATGATGATGACAGGAACAGATAACACTTAAGATGTAAGTGCCTATCACATATGTCACCTATTTCAATCCTTACATCTCTTTGAAACAGGTGCAAATGTTATCACCATTTTACAGACGAGGACACTGAGGTACAGAAGTCACACAGTCATGGCAGGACTGGCTTTGGAGTCTAGGCATTTGGCCTCCATGGCTTTTACCGCTTCACTGTAGCCTCAAAAACACTGGGAATGGACCTGGGTTCTTTATTTAAAAACCCGCAGTGCAGAAGGTAAATGCTGCTTTTCACACGACTCACTGCAATGGTGGCACTTTATCAGCTGAGCGTTTCGATCACTCGCTGTGACACTCCCATCCCGACCACCAGCTGGTTTCTGGTACCTGTTCTTTCCGTCTCAGAAGCAGGGGCTCTGAGGTCATCCTGCAGTTAAGACCTGAGCTTGGACTCTGGATGGTCACAAGTCAGAGTTTAAAATCCTTGCTTTGCCTCATACTATCACCTCAGGGGAATTCCTTAAGTTTCCTGAGCCTCAGTTTCCCTATCTGTAACATAGAAATGATAATTATGTCTCTCTCGTGGGATTGCGAAGATTTAATGAGATGATGGACTGAAGCGTGTACCAGCAAAACCTGAACCCAGCTGTGGTTGTGCCTCATGGAAATGCACACTAAGTTACTAGCATGATTATTCTGTGTCCCCTTCTCCATCACCAGCACCCTGTTTCCATGGGAACATCTCCTCCATCGGACATCAACCCGAGGGACCACCTAGTCCCGCCTAAGAAATGGCACCGTGACCTCAGGGAGCCCAGATGCTCTTCCTGGGGAACCTTCAACCAAGTCACCCAACACTGAAGGGGAAGTGCAAACAGACAAACCGCAAAGACGAACTGGCATTCCGGGCCTGCTGCAGAGGCGCACAGACGGGCACCACTCCGGCTGCCGTGCAGCCGGGGCTCCGAGGTCCCCGGGCCGTCTTTCCTGGCCCTGGGTATGTGGCTTTCCCATAGACTGATGTTCCCACAAACTTAAACTCCCATAAAATTAAACTCTCCATAAACTTAAGTCTCCCATGAACTTCAGTCAGGCAGAGCGGGTCCCCATTGTTTGCAATCAAAGAGCTTCAGCTATACACTTCTAAAGCGAAGACAAGGTCTCTATGAAATTCAACAAGTTCTTTAACCCCCTCCGCCCCTCGTCCACTGGATGGGGGCGTGCATTAGCTCCCTTGCTGGGTAACTGATTATCCCCAAACCACATGGCTTCAAGGGATGAACGTGGATTACCTCCTAAATCGTATGTCAGAAATCTGGGACCAGCTTCGCTTCGTGGTTGTGGCTCAGGCTCTTTCATGACGTCAAGGCACCAGCCAGGGTTGTAGTCATCTGAAAACTGGCCTGGGGCTGGAAGAGCCACTTCCAAGATGGCACACTCACCTGGCTGCCGGTAGGAGGCCTTTGCTCCCTGTCGCGTGGACCGTTCCACAGGGATGCCCGAGCATCTTCATGACGTGCGAGCTGGCTGCCCGCAGAGTAAGGGAGCCCAGGAGACAGGACAGCAGCCACGCTGCGTCAGCCCTGCTCCATGTGAGTTCCAGGAGGAAGCGACAACTGGGAGCCGTCTCAGAGGCTGGCTGCTGTATGCGGGAAGCCTGGAGGCCCCGGGAGGTTTGGTAGTCAGCCCCCAGCCTCCTTTTACTTCAGCTTTTCCTATTCACACTGAGAACATTCACCTCAGAAGCCCGTAGTGTGACTTACAAGTAAAGGGGGGAAGGAGGTGGATATGAAGAAAAAGCTGCAGACAAGGCAGGGTGATGGTGTCCAGCCCAAGGACCAGCGTGGGGAACTGGAAAAGGGGAAGAGAGAGCATTTAGGGAAGGGAGACAAAGGCTGCCCAAGTCCAGGGACCAAGAGCAGTTAGTGGAAAACGTGCTGCAACTCGGCAGCTGAGGACCTTCCCTCCTTCAACCCTAAAGAAAGTCTGACGTCCAGCTCAGCCCTGCTTGTCAACCATCCTTTATTGCTCCAAGACCAGTTGGGGCCTGAGAACTAGGGTTCATGAGTCCAGGCTGCGGCCAAGCTGTGATGAGCTCAACTGTGTCCCCTCAAAACACATACATTAAAGCCCTAACCCCCAGTACCTGCAGCTGGGCCTTTAAAGAGATGATTATGGTTAAACTGGTGAAACTGGGCCGTTAGGGTGGACTGTAAGCCCATCTGACTGCTGTCCTTGTAACAGGACAGTTGGACACACAGAAATACTAAGGGCACAGACAGGTGGCTTTGTAAGGGCAGAGAAAAAGCAGCCATCGGCACGCCAAGGAGGCCGCAGGAGAAACCGAGCCTGCTGACACCTTGATCTTCGACCTCCGACCTCCAGAACTGTGAGACAATAATTTTCTGTTGTTTAAGCCCCGCAGTCTGTGGGACTTTGTGATGGCAGCTCAAGCCTCTGGACTGTTCTGTGAACCAGCTCCGAGCCTCTGCTATGTAACATGGGGTCAGAAGCCGACGCAAGCACTGACGTTCCAGGCTCAGGGAGGTACAATGGGACTCGGCGTCCCTGCCTGCTGTGGAGTCACAGCGCCCTGCACACACCCGGAGATGGCTCCCACTCAAGACTCCTTCCACACGCCTCCTGATGGGCCCCGGGCCTCCGGCTCCTCCCCTCCTAAGGCAGTCTCCACACATGCAGGTTCCTCAGGCCTCCTCCACCATCCTGCACAGCTTCCATCAGCTGCAAAGCACCTTCTGTATTCGTTCCCGCACTTCATTTGGTCCCAAGGACACCATCATCTCAGCTACAGGGGGTCCTTGCTAAGAACAAAGACAGAATACATTCCTAGGGCCTTACCCTGCCTGGAGAACTCATGCACAGCCTCTGTCTGCAGAAGCCATGCCCCAGGCCAACCCCAACACAGCCGAGCACCCCAGGGAGCAGAGCTTGCAGTTCACTGTCTTTAATTTCTGAGGCTGAGGCCCAGGAACCGTTCTTCCTGCACTGATATGTCTATTACCCCCAATCGACCCCCAGCTCCAGGGGAGTGATGACGTGTCATTCACCTCCGTATCCCCAGAGCTGAGCTGAGTGCCTGCCGATGAATGCTAGCTAAATGGACCAATGAGGGACCCCCGGGAACAGAGCAGCCCATCTGCCCGCCTCACCAGCTGTCCACTCAGCACCACTCGGAGGAGTTTCATCACGTGACTGTGTTTGGTGCCGTCCAGGCCTTCTGAGACCTTCTTCAGTTTGGCATTCAACGTGTCCTGAGTTAAGTTTGTGGCGGGT